AATTCGTTCCGGAGGTCCGTACTTAACCTGAAACTGTTCTTAACCTGAAGCACCACTTTAGCTAATGGGGCCTCCCACTGCCGCTGCGCCGCCGGAGCACAATTTCTGTTCTCATCCTGAAGCAAAGTTCTTAACCTGAAGCACTATTTCTGGGTTAGCGGAGTGTGTAACCTGAAGCGTATGTAACCCGAGGTACCACTGTATTCCTTTCAAAAGGAGGGGTTGCGTCCCTGCTGAGCATTACTGCGTTGAATAAATTGTGAAAGAATTTTCATAGAAGGCTCCTGTATAGCAAGATTTTCCTTGTTTTCATTTCTCAATTGCTTTCTATAACTCTTCTGTAGAGAAAGGGCTACTTAAGTTAACTCTGTGATCTTCTGATATTTGTTTCACCCCTACTTTGTTTAGGTAGGCCGTAATCTGAGTGGAATGCAGCATGGCTGGAGAATATCAACTGGAATAATATTTTTTTAAAATTGGTTCAAAATGTCGTTGTCCAACGTTTTAGTCCCATTGGATCGCCTGAGGAAGGGTGAAATCAGTGGTCCGGCTCCAGAATGGCAATCTTCTCCATCGCTTCTGCTAAACCTCAAACAACAGCAGCCAATTATGTGCCTTTTTGATTTATTGTCATGTCTAATATGTACTATGGGTAAGATCCAGCACATCAGGAGCAAGTGTCCAGCAGGGTCAGGGATATGCTGGAGCAGATTTTGATTCAAGGAGAAGGAGGAGAGAAACCAGAAACCACCTCGGAAATGGGTGTGCTCTTTGCTCATGGGAAGTTTTTAAACAGAGGTTGGATGGCATCCTGTTAGGGATTCTTTAGCCAATTCCTGCAATTTCCAGGGTGAGACTAGATGATGCTTGGGGTCCCTTCCACCTCTACAGTTCTCTGATTCTATTATTCAGAAGCAACACTGCATAAACAAGGTTTCTGTTGTGTAGGTGGTGGACATAATTGGTTTTGAACGGTTTGCATGCATATTTGCCAAAGAGAGGGATGTAGGTGCGAGTAGTAAAATAGTGATCCATAACATATTAACTATATACAGTGGTACCTCGGGTTACAGACGCTTCAGGTTACAGACTCTGCTAACCCAGAAATAGTACCTTCGGGTTAAGAACTTTGCTTCAGGATGAGAACAGAAATCTCGCGGTGGCGGCAGCGGGAGGCCTCATTAGCTAAAGTAGTACTCAGGTTAAGAACAGTTTCAGGTTAAGAACGGACCTCCAGAACGAATTAAGTTCTTAACCCGAGGTACCCATTGTATCATAATATATCAATCCAAAACTTTAAAAGGCTTTATCAACTCTTTAAAAATCATAGCAGATTAGCAGGAACCATTTTTTTTGTCCCTCTGTTGCTGCTTGGATCACAGCTGTGGCAATGACTTGGAGAGAAGCAAAATCCCCGCAGCTACACAGATCATCCTTGCTAGTCACCCGCCGGAGAGAGAGATGAGAAGGGAAGAATAATTCTAAAGCTAATAACATTCAAAACCATTTATTTCAATAGCTAATAATCACAGCATAACGATTTACAAAAATTGTCTGCCCTCAGTTTAGCTAAGGTTTTTCGCCTGTGATCACGGTAATCAGGTTCTGCCTTTTGACGAAACGCATGCTTGCACAGCTTGAAACATTTAAAAACCTTTCAAGTTGGTCTTTGGCACGTCTAATGGTATGTACTGTGCTTATGACAGTTAATCATGTGAACTGATTCTCTCTCCTGCCCTCCCCGCCCCCATCACTCGAAAATTGGTGGATAAGATTATCTTTTTGTTCACATTTTTCAAACACATTTCTTCTTCCAAGTCAAATTTCCAGTACATGGCCATAATCCCTAAGTAGTTAACCCTGATTTTTTCCCGGTTTCTTGCTCATGTGTTGCTTTATTGTACGCTTTGAGTTATGACTCTGTAATATTGCTGATTTATTAAAGCTGCAAATCCTGAGCATACTTACAAAAAGGTAAAGCCTGTTGCATTCAATAATAAACAAGGAATCGTGTAGGACTGAGTTGGGTGAGGCTTAAATCAGCCTAGCTGTCAAGGACCTGGCTAAATGATAGCATTTCCCCAAAAACTAAAATAAAAATTGGTCAGAGCACACCTGGAATACTGTGTTCAATTCTGGACACCACAATTGAAGAAGGATGTTGACAAGCTGGAACGTGTGCAAAGGAGGGCAACCAAGATAATTAAAAGTCTGGAAGCCAAGCCTTATGAGGAGTGGTTGAAGGTACTGCGTTTATTTAACCTGGAACAGAGGAGACTGAGAGGAGATATGATAGCCATCTTCAAATATCTCAAGGGCTGTTACATAGAAGAGGGAATAAGTTTGTTTTCTCCTGCTTTGGAGGAAACCAATGGCTTCAAGTTACAAGAAAGGAGATTCCGACTAAACATCAGGAAGAACTTTCTGACAGTAAGAGCTGTTCGACAATGGAACTCTCCTTTGGGAGGTTGTGGATTCTCCTTCACTGAAGGTTTTGAAGCAGAGGTTGGATGGCCAACTGTCATGGATGCTTTAGTTGGACTAGACAGTGTTTTTCCCAACCTTTTTGGGCAAAGGCACACTTGTTTCATGAAAAAAATCTCAAGGCACACCCACCATTAGAAAATGTTTAAAAATTAACTCTGTGCCTATATTGACTACCCTATTTTTTCGCCCTATAGGACGCACCGGCCCATAGGACGTACCTAGATTTTGGGGGGGAAATAAAGGGGGAAAAATTATTTCCCCCCCCCCCCAGACGCGGGGCTGGGGCGGGAGAAGCCCGAGCTTCCCCCGACCCCAGCCCCCAGAATGGGAGCCAGAGTGGCTCCCGGAGCTTGCGGGACTGGGGGTGGGGGAAGCCCGAGCTTCCCCCGCCTCCAGCCCCCAGAAAGGGCCCCGAGAGCGATGGCAAAGGTGAGCGCACCTTCGCCATCACTCCCAGAGCTTGCGGGGCTGGAGGTGGGGGAAGCCAGAGCTTCCCCCACCCCCAGCCCCAGAAAGGGTCCGAGAGCGATGGCGAAGGTGAGCGCACCTTTGCCATTGCTCCCGGAGCTTGCAGGAGCTGGGGGGGGGAAGCCGAGCTTCCCCCGCCCCCAGCCGCCAGAGCAGGTCAGAGAGCGATGGCGAAGGTGTGCGCACCTTCGGCCATCGCTCTGGGACCTTGCGCGGCTGGGGGCGGGGGAAGCCGGAGCTTCTCCCGGTCCCCAGCCCGCAGAGCAGGTCGGAGAGCGATGGCGAAGGTGTGCGCACCTTCGCCATCGCTCTGGGACCTTGCGCGGGCTGGGGGCGGGGGAAGCCGGAGCTTCTCCCGTCCCCAGCCCGCAGAGCAGGTCGGAGAGCGATGGCGAAGGTGTGCGCACCTTCGCCATCGCTCTGGGACCTTGCGCGGGCTGGGGGCGGGGGAAGCCGGAGCTTCTCCCGTCCCCAGCCCGCAGAGCAGGTCGGAGAGCGATGGCGAAGGTGTGCGCACCTTCGCCATCGCTCTGGGACCTTGCGCGGGCTGGGGGCGGGGGAAGCCGGAGCTTCCTCCTGTCCCCAGCCCCGCAGAGCAGGTCAGAGAGTGATGGCGATGGTGTGCGCACGTTCGCCATCGCTCTCGGGGCTTGGGAGGCTGCGGGCGGGGGAAGCTGGAGCTTCCCCCGACCCCAGCCCCCCGAACGGGTTGGAGAGCGATGGCAAAGGTGCGCGCAGCTTTGGCATCGCTCTGGGAGCTTGCGCGGCTGGGGGATAGCTTCCTTAAGCCTGGAGAGCAAGAGGGGTCGGTGCGCACCGACCCCTCTCGCTCTCCAGGCTTCAGCGAAAGCCTGCATTCGCGGCGATGGGATGTGGGAGGGAGCTCGCTCGCCGCCCCGCGTGTGCTCGCCGCCGGCGCCCCGCCTCTCGCCGCCCGACTCGCCCGCCTCCCTCCCACGGCACACTAGGCAACGTCTCACGGCACACTAGTGTGCCGCGGAACACCGGTTGGGAAACGACTGGTCTAGGCAGAAAGAACCACCACCATTAAGTTGACCAATAAGGTTGTTTACTACAGTAAGTGTTCTAAAGAGGCTACTCAAGAACGAGACATTTCTAGCACTTATAAATTTTATGTTCTCCATTGCAAATTAATATTCACAGTTGGCAGTGACTAAAACTCAAAGTACTTTAACCTCTTCAGTTTTCTGATATATTAATGAAGTATAGTCATATTTCCTTCTCCAGTATCTTTTGGAATCTACTTAAATCGTTCATTCACACAATCATTACAGCTACTTAACCAATCAATGTTTACTTATCCCTGTTAGAAATACCTTTCCATTTTTTTGCAGATGAATCAAACAAATGGCTGACTGCCATCTTACGATCAACAAAAAATCCAATACATTCTCATTTCTTATTTGCGGCTAATGGGTCCTTAGCAAACAGTATTTATTCTTATAATGCTTGATTCATTTTTTAATTCAATTCTATTTTTGTTATGCTAATCATTGGGATATCCAGTCAATTCTGCATAACGTTCTCACTTTTTAGTATGTATTAACAAAAATCCCAGCATGATATCATTATGGTTCCAAATCCTACTATTACAACCCATAAATTATAGTATGTGTGGGTAAACATATTGTTAAAAAATTGCTTACAGGAAAAAAGGCAAAAGTTAGTTGCATTTGGGTTGTCACTAATGATTAAGTATTTCAAAACACTGAGATTTACTGAAACATTACCCAAGGAACTGCTGTTGTACCTTTAGTTGCGTTGGCAATTTACTGTTACCAGTTTATGAGTCTTTACATTTTAACACAAAATCCTTCAGAAAAACTATTCCCTCATCTGGAAACAGAGTGAATGGGGAGTTTTTAGAAAATGTCTGCCATCAAAAGAATCAACAACAACTTGGGGAAGCAGGGATGCATATACTTAAACGCAAGTAGCCAGAGGATACTGTGTCTATCAATTTAAACATGAAGTGGATCTGATAAGTGAGTGATGTGAGACAATAATATACCAAAGGTACTGACCTGGAAGTCAAGCTGGTTGAAGTAGGGGTGAAAGCAGCAGTTTGGAGAGTAAACACAAAAAAGAAGGAAATAGCAAGAGAATAAACGAAGGAAAAACATTAGTTTTTCAACATAAAAGTGAGCAGATGTTATATCAGCAATCTCTTGTCAAAAACAGAAATCAACAAATAAACGTTAGTGTACAGTGTTTCTAAGATGGGTGATGACCAAAGCAACAGCTTAGGAGGAAGTAAACATGTTGCTTATGTATGATGGAAAAGCTACCTTAGAATATGTATACATTCTCACGTGTATACACATACAAGTGAAACACTATAAAGCTGATGGCATTTGCTAAGGCATATGTTTGACAGGAGGCATTCATGCTTGGGGAAAATAATGTTGCTTGGACCAACAAGGATTGGAGGATGACTCATATACAGCAAGTCATCTTCACCCATGAAAAATAAAGGAAGCTCAATGGCTTGGCTAGATGTTCAAAGAATTTTGTCAGAGATTCTCAAGTACTGATCACTTACACTGATCAAAGACACCACTTTTTCCCATGGAAACATAGACCTTTCTAAAGCTGAGAGCAATCTTTTTCAGTCCCAAGAATAAGACCAATACTTCATCACTGAGAATAACCAGATGCATGATAAATATTTTTTTTTACAAAAATATTTAACATGTCCTTTCAATTAGCCAAAACACACATACAAACCCTTATCTAATGCCAAACCAAAAAGAGTCCCCCAGAGCCATCACAGGTGCACATTCCTGCATCATTTTGCAAAAGGTGATTTATTTATTTTTTAAACATCAGAAATAGCTGCATAGTGATTTGGTATGCTGGTTTTTTTTATTTCAGCGGGTTTTTTTCTCTTGAATTTTCTGCTGACATTTCAGTTGACGTCCCTCCCACTACCATACTATTGCATTGTTGTTTCAGTATGGTGATATAAAGGAACTGTAAGCTTAAGTATTTTGTCAAAATATGACAGAACATTCATCAGGCATTCGCCTTCACAGAGGCACAAACCTCTCTTAAGTTGGAACAGCCTTACTCAAGGCAACTTGTGAAACATGAACTACAGCACTTGTTTTTCATTTCCTGTTGGTTGATTATTTATTTGGGGCTCTCAGTTTGATGTTATTTAGCACATGTCCAAGTGAAGGTTTACTATGGAATTTCCCTGCCTTTGTATACTTTAAGAGAAGAAATTAACTAAAAAGCAGTAAAAGATGGCAGTATCATATGAGAGACTAAGGTTGAACGGATTCATGTCTGTGTTCAGTACATGTCTACAAAAGTAGACTATAAAGTCTATTCATCAACTGCCCATCCAGATTTTTAAAAGAAAAAATATTTTAAAACCTGCTTGCTTTTAGCAAAAAAAAAAAAAAAAAAAATAGAGAGAGAGAGAGAGAGAGAGAGAGAGAGAATAATGTATTTAAGAGAACTTAAGAAATGATCATTCTTCCTTAAAAAAACGAAACTCCCATTTCTAGCTTCCCCAAGCAGCTGAAATATGCAGCACTTGTTGTGCTCACTGGACATTGTGACCAAAAACCTGCTGGAAGCAGCAGTATACTGAGATCTTCATAGGTAACTCTACAAATAGGAAAGTGGTTCTTCCCCCCATGCCCAACAACCCATTTAGCAGGGACATTGTATGGGGGGAAATATGGCTCCCCTAAAAAAGATTAATTGGAGCAGCCATCTTGTTCTTGATATAGCTATCCAGGAAGAGGCAGCATGTCATAATGTACTGTGACTTCAAGGGTTTTTCTGGGGCATTGTGGGAAATTTGAAATGAAGGACAGTTCACAGCAGCCTGTTGCATATCACAGCATTACTGCTGCTTTCCTTCCCTGCTGCTGCTAAGCCTCCTAATGCTGGGCTACAGTAAATTTTAATGAAAGATAATGGCAGAAACCAAACATAGGGTACACACAGAGGCAGAGAGAGGCTTAATTCCATTCTTTAATCAAGTAGCTTTCATGGGCCCCACACCCTTTCAGAATAGTTCCACAAGATGAGGAAGGTGGTGAACTAAGTTTCACAGGGCCCCTCTTCTGAGGTGGATTTAGGGCAGTGACAGAGATGTGGGGGCACTGGCACATAGCTGAGGCAGGCACCTTCTCAAAGCCCGGCAAGCACCTGCCCAGCTTCAGGAAGGAGGCATGAGGACTCTGACAGGGTCCTAGAGTCCTATTGCCTCCTTCCCCAAGCAGGGCAAGTGCTTACCAGGTTTTGGGAAGGAGAAGGGAGGGCTCTAGGACCCCAACAGAGCCCTGTGGCTCCTTCCCAAAGCCCAGCACTTTGTTTACCCTAAGCCTGCACTGGAAGGTGTCAAATGTTAGCCTCCCACAGGACAGCATATCCTCAAAGTTTGCCCCTGCCCTGTCTATCTTTCCTTCCCACCATTAGCAAATGAGGTACAGCTAATTGCATCTACAAGCTGCAGTTCAACTTCGGCACCAACCTTTACTGGGGTCAGTAATAAGCTGCACCTTCCTTCTACAACTAAAGGAAAATTCAGTCATAGATCTTACAAGGATTTGCAGCTGTACGTAAAAGAACAGAGGTCATTCACAATGATTAGCAATTGTGCCCTTATTTCAAATGCTCTAGTTGAGGCATTAAAGAGAAACTGATGTTTTCAAAAAAACAAAAACAAAAAACCCTGGTCCACTCATGGTGTTTTTTTCACCTTTTTCATGTTAAGGCAGAACCAATATGCTATTCATCTCCAAACTTATGTGTGTAGGCTTTCTGTCTTCGTTACATTTTAAGGCCAATAGTAATTCCATTCATCAGTAACTCAAAAATTCAAACCTCTTAGCTGTTTTAAGTCTATATGATTGTTGTGGAGTACTTCAGCTTGGTTTTCGAAGACTTCCATGCATCCCGGATTTAAAGTTAAAAACTATTAAGCATGCCACCATTTTAAAACGAAACACATTCATGTATGTGTGAAGAGAATCACATGGGCCAATAGGGACCCACACGCCTTGAACTGAATTGACCAAGGACAGCTCTCTCATCTTGCTCAAAAGAATTCATGAAGAAGCAGCTTTAGAAAGAGTCTAAAGCAATGTTCGGTTGCCAGGAGCCCAGAGATTAAAATAACTGAAGAAAACACTGAAATGGGTGGCTAGAGGAGTGGGGAAGAACCATCTCTTGTACACTGCCTGGTCTAAAGGCAGATTGGATGGGGGGGGGAATTCAATCTGGCAAAGGTTGGGGTGCCTCAGCTGAGGAAGTTTGCACTTTGGCTATCCACTAATTGGTACAAAAGCCAGTATCCAGGCAACTATGCCAAATGAGCCAAGTTGCCTCATCACATAATTTGCTACAAATGGGGAAAGAGCTTGCATTGAGTCCCTATCCATTCCACTGGAAATATTTTCACATCATTCAGCATACAAGGCTCCCAGTTCCTGGGTGACAGTAAAAGCAGGCTGAAGGAATGTAGTCCTGTTGAAATTGTTTGAGAAATTGAAGTTAATGCGTATCCTCCACAGTGCAGGGAACTGCGTAGCCAGATATCAGTGCAGAGTCTGGACTGAGCATCGTAACCATTTACTGCCATTGACCAGACATATAAAGTCACTCAGAGATACACCTCACCACCTCATATTGGAAATATGCCACCCATTTTTATCCTGCTCTGCATACATCTGAGACTCATTCCTCTGAATGAAACTGAAGCACAAGCATGTAAAATATCCACCCATTAGAATTCCTGCCTTTGCTCTCCAGTCTGTGACAGTAATTTTAAAATGGCTCTGTATTCTAAATGGTTCAAAAAGTTCACATAAATCACACACACACACACTTTAGTTCAGGAAATCACATTCCTATGCATGAAGAAAAGCATAAGGTCTTTTCATATATTGTGTCTGTCTGCAATTGATTATATTTTGCAAGTGAATTGCTTTAAAAGCTAGATGTTCTATTTTGCGAAAAATTCTCCCAGGCTAGAGGATACGAAAAGAAAAACCTGTGCCTTCTTCCACAAAGTGTTGAGTATTTGCCACACGCACTGATTTAATTAAGAGCTATTCCACTAGGTTAATGAAAGGATGTTACAAAATAGCATTTCAGCTACACAAAATAGAAGGCAGGAAAAGTCACCTTGTGTACTGGAGAGAGAGGGGAGTCATGCTATGGCTCCTTCATCCTATTAGCAGCATTTCCACTTTCTAGCAACAATTTCTCAGATATTTCTAGCAGGAGTCACACAGTAGAAGGATGTGGTTTGCAAATACTTGTTATTTTAAAAAATCCTGCTATGGGACATAACTTTGTGTTCATGAGGAGCTAGAAGTCCTCAAAGGTGCCCAGGCACAGGATTAACCATTTGCTTTGCAGGTATCATATTGTACAGTTGTAGGCTGGAGTCCTAAAAACGTGGAACATATTCTGCTAGTCAGCACTGCTGAAGGAATGCAAAACAGGAAGTTCATAACCTATGATTGACAGGTGGTTATCTCTACACACCAGCTAGGTGAAGTCACATATTGTAACCTAGAGAATCAGGGTCATAAGACTATAGGTGCACCTGCAGTCTCATAACTCATCCCTCTGACCCTTATGGGAGGGTCTTTAGGACCTTGGGCATGTGACTCATGTAGGCAGACAGCAGATGGAACAGAGGAATGAAGCAGACTGTGAAGGGTTTTATTCTAGTTGTGCTTAAGTGCTCAGTTTAAGTGCCTTGTTTAGTCTAAGTCAGTGGTTCCAAAAGTGGGTGGTACCGCCTCCTGGGGGCAGAGGGATTACCCAGGGGGGCACTGAGAAGCAAGTAGGGTAAGTGGCAGGGGGGCACTGAAGGTGTAAATGATTATCAGATTTTGAAAAGCTGGTCTCAATGGAGCATCAGTTTTGTTGAATTAATTAAACTAAACAATTTTAACTGGATTTTGAATAAATGCGCAATTAATTGTTACTGTTTTGACATTTATTGTGTCATCTTCTTATTTAGTGGGTTGTGCAAACCACTATTCAGGCATGGGGGTGAATTTATGGAACCAAGGAGGCAGTGGCCCAGAAGAGATTGCGAACTGCTAGTCCAAGTAGGTTCTGTGTACGTTTGTTGCTGCATTTTATGTCTAATATTTGCTGTACAACTAATAAAACTTGACATCTTCACCCACAAGTGTGCTTATTGCCACTTACAGTGGTGCCTCGCAAGAGGAAATTAATTCGTTCCGCAAGTTTTGTCGTCTTGCGATTTTTTTCGTCTTGCGAAGCACGGTGTCGGGAAAGTTTTGGAAAAGCTTCAAAAATCTCCAAAGTCTTTAAAAACCTCAAAAAAGGCTACCACACCGCGTTCTATGAGTTGCTCCTCGAAGTCAAGTCGCAACTGTATTAACGGTGTTAAGAAAAAGGAAACAAACTTGCAAGACGTTTCCGTCTTGCGAAGCAAGCCCATAGGGAAAATCGTCTTGCGAAGCAGCTCAAAAAACAAAAAACCCTTTCGTCTAGCGAGTTTTTTGTCTTGCGAGGCATTCGTCTTGCGAGGTACCACTGTATCTCCCTTTCTTGTGTGCCCACCCCAAATCTACTCCAGAGGGCTGGCAGGAAACCCAGTACAGATTTGGGAGGGTGTATGGTAGGAGTAGAGGGAGGGGACGTTCTGTTGCTCAAGTGGAAGTCCTTGCATTAATGGGACAACTTGGCTGGATACAATCCCAGGACTATTAATTATGTACACTATTTAGACAATTTGAAGAATTTTGTTTGTTTCTTTGTAGTACTGCTAACGGGCATGCCATCTGGAGGGATGCCAAGAGCCCCCCCAAAAAAATTCAAAATCCCCCAGTGGCTGTGCACACATGCTGTGGGGCATGCTTGTGTCCTGTGCACAGAGTTTGAGCGTGACATGTCAGCACGCCCCGTGGTGTGCATGTACAGCGTGAGAATGCCACAGGGTGTGCTGATGTCGCACGGCCCTGGAGCCCTCAATAGCGGAGACAAGGCAGCAGGCTTGACTGCTGCACTGGCCAACTCAGAGATTCAGAAGAGGGTGGTCTATAACATCTAAATAATCAATAATGCAGAGTTGCCTTCATCATCATACATGACTGTATCTTTTCCTTGTTTTTCCAAATCAGTCTTCATTTGTAGAGTCTCATACCCAAAGTAGACATGTTGATTTTGTCTTGTTTTGTCAAGACTTGAATGCAAGCTTAAAAAACAAACAAAAAATAGCCCAGAAATAGCATAGCTCACAGATAGCATCATATTGTTGTCTCACTTGTAACTAAATCTCTTTCAACGAAGCATCATATTGGCGCCTCATTTGTATCTAAATCTCTTCAGCAAAGCACAAATTATTCAGTTAGCCAGTCTGTTACTTGCTCATTTTGTTCTCTGTGCAAAACTTTACATTTTTGTTGTAAAAATATTCCTTAAAATGCAGTGCTTTTTTTTCTAAAAAAAAATGTTTAGGGGTACTCTCATTTTCCTACTCATTGAAATACTGCCCCTCAATGAGGCGAAACTTAGATTCACAAAATGTTTAGGGGTATGCATACCCCTGCATACCCCCAGAAAAAGCACAGTATAAATGTATTAAGGATCAATTTCTATTTTACTTCCAATATTCTATCAACTAAGTACCAATTTCCACTTCCCCCGGTGTACTTTTTGTGTGTGCAGAGTACTTCATACTATGTATTGTGCAACATTCTTCCTTTCCCTTCCTCCACAACATAGGAGTCCCTTGCCTGCTTTCTTTTAAAGAAATATTGTCTTTCCAGAAGACACCAAGGGCTGCTCCTGGCCTTGAAAAATATCAGAACAGATATACAAAGAATTCATTCACTATTTGATTGCTTTTTTGTTATTCTTCTGTTAGAAAAATGTTGCCATTGTTTCTCATCAAAGATGAATGTAAAAGGCATTTGCTGAGAAAACACAAATGATGAGGAATTTACCTTTCTAATTCAGCAATTTTCTTATCTTTGTCATTTTTTTCATTCTCTACTTCCTTGAGGATTTCTAGAAGTCTGTCAACCTCAGCTTGAGCTTTGCCACATTCGTCTCTATAGTAGGCTGCCTCTTTGTCAAGCTGTTTCATCCTGTCAGCAAATTCAGGGTTCATTCGGGCCTCCTCCTCAGCTTCATGAGCCTGTTAAATTTACCAAGAAAACAGAAAGAAATCACTACCATTTCAGGTAGCCTCACTTTATTCTGGAGTCCCAGACTTCATACGACGAAAGGATTTATGGGTATCCTGTTAGTTGGCAATGTTTTCTCAATGATTCCCATAACAAGGACATGTTTTTGGAGGGAATTCATAGCACCCTGGCTTAGGAAATAAAATGCTAACTTAAGAGAGAGAGAAACACTGCTAGGTTCTGACTCTTGTTTCGAAAAACGGTCCTGAACAACTTAATATAAACTAACATATAATATGGTTTAATTTAATAACTGCATTAAACAGTTTATGAACGATTTAATGCATACTGTTTTAGGTAAGATGAGAATGCATTTAACAGACAGTTTTACCCAAAATCCTTTCCCCTCTTTTTTTCATTTCATACTGCCAATATTTAACCTGAAACATAAGAAGAAACAAGCCCCTTGGTGGAACAGCACAAATAAATATACCTGGCAAACACATGCATGGGTGGGTGGTCAGTTCACAAACAAGAAGGAATGCAATGAACACAACAGAAAACAAGAGTGCAAAGCCCACTCCTGCTCCCATTAAAGCTAATGGCAAAACCCAATTAACGTCAGTGAGAGCATGAATGGGCCAAAGTGTTTAAAACATTAGACTGAAATAATCACACACAGATGTAAACAAGAATGCACTGCAATGCTTAGCCTACCCCTTGTTTCCCATTATTCCTAATTGGCATCTTCAAAGAGCAGGCAGGGAGAAAACAAGTAGTTTAACCACAGTGCACATTAAACACACATAATTCAGAGAACACTTTTTAAATGCACACACATACATTTTAAAGGATTAAGGACATTTAGAACTGCATGTCCTTCCGCTATCTAACAATATATAACAGATGCTGGGTTTGGGTTCAATCCACACTTAGTCATGCCTAAAGTAGACTCAATGAAATCAATAGTTAGCACTTAAATCCTGTTGGTTTCAATAGGTCTCTTCTAAGCATGACTAAGGCTGCAATCCTAATCCCACTTACCTGGGGCTAGGAGTAAGCCCCATTGAATTCAACAGAGCTCACGTCTAAATAGACATGGTCAGGATTGTGCTGTTAGTCTGGAGCCAAGCCTTCATTTTAATTTCCATATTTATATTTACTTCAGGGAATAGATAAGCAAGCAATGAAACAAGTGTTGGTTAAAAGGCAGCATGCAAGTTTAGATAGAAGGTAATACTAACATAAACTCCTCGAAGTTTGACATTCTTTGCAATGATTTAATCCTCTTTGGTTTTCAACACGTTTAAGTAAAACATTTTTATTATGAAGAAATGTGCAAAAAAATAGGCTACTGAAGAACTAATGGCTGTTCCCCACCCCCCTGCATGTAACATATCATTTAAGCATGAGGATAATCAAGAAAATAGTTTCATTTCAGTGGATTTCTTATTCTCAAAGAGATGTCTGAGGCCACTTCAAATGTGATGAATTTTCTACATAGACATAATGCATGCAAATCAAGTGTGTTTTAGTTATCCACAGCAAAAAGAAAAAAAGAAAAACAAAACTAGTGTGTGATTTCTCATGTCTGATAATGTGCAAGTGGTTTGCAGACTGCCTTTTCTACACTGAAATGTTAATAATGTAGGAAAGTCACCATGTTTGAAGCAGCCCTGGGTTTAAACATATGAGGGGAGCATTTTCTACATAAGTAATACATACATTATGCACAAAGGGTACAGTCTACACATAGCCTCCACTCATTTCAGTGGGAGCTTGAACAAGGTTCCATTTGGTACCTAGAGAATTATGTCCACAATGTTCAATTCAGCTCCCTTTGAAATAAACAGGAGCTGTTGTACTTTGCAATGTATGTGAATTGACCCCTTAATCTTTACAAGGCTGGGCTCTATATGGAATTCCAAGCACTTCTGAGTGTTCATCACAGTCTGCCTGATTTGTCACTCCAAGGAGTAATCCACCATTAAGACGTGGCTTCAAGGGGCATGAGGACAATGATGTGAAAAGGGTCTTGGAACTCCCAATGGGTTGCAATTCTGTGCACACCCCTTGAATCTGGTACAGGGTCTTGTGTATGCATGAAGGCTTTTGCTATTGGTTATGAGATAAAAAGAGACTTTCCACCCTTCCCATAGCCAATAGGAGAAATGTCTCACAACAGAAGATTAATAGACCAGCTATGCCAGTTCACAACCAAAACAGAATATATCTACACCACAAACTTAAAGCACCAACATAATAATATAACCATCATTGGGAGACTCCTCCATAGGTCTACTCAATAGATTCAGGGTGGCCAATGTTGTGCCCTCCAGGTGTTGTTGGATTACAACTCTCTTCATCGTTGACCATTAGTCATGCAGGCCAGGGCCAAAGAGAATTGTAATCGAACATCTGAAAGTTGCCATCTATCCCTACAACAGATCATGGTAGGCTCCATGGTAGTTCAAGGCATTCAAGGCATATTCACACACAACGTTATAGTTGAGTTTAAACGGCCATGTCAGGGGCTGTTGAAAGGCGACTCAGCATCTACAATTCTTGCTGGCCCCATCCCAGCTGAATGTAAATGCAGCAAGGCTGAAAATTGCCTGGCATGGAGGCAAGAGAGTGATGGGAGCACCAGCTCCACCATTGCTGGTATATAAACAGCCAAAGAACAGCAGCAATAGCCTTATTATGGCCAGCATACTGAGGCACACAGTTGGGAGCTTTTGCCACAGTGTGGGATGAAAACAAAACAGCTAGCAGAGAAAGCCTCAGCAAGGTGGGAGAGAAGTAACTGGAAAACTGTGAGTTATATGCAACTTCACAGCTCTGAGGAAAAGGGAAGAAAGTAGGAAATGTTTTTTAAGATGTTATTATACTGGAAGGCAAAACCATACAATTTGAAAGGTGGTGATGAGAAGAATCCAGGAATTCCTGAAGAAAGGACTCACTGGGTCTTCCTCTAAAACTCATTGAGTTAGATCTGGGGCTCTGAAAGACCTGAAGCCACTGTAATTCACTGCCAGCTCTTAAGGGAAAGAATCTGCAACATGTCACATACTTAACCTACCATGGTTTTCCTTACAACAGCCTGGAAACTTTGATTTGGTAAACAGGCTAAAGCTGTTTTCAGGAAGCTGAAGCACTCTTATTGCACACTTGGAACTGAGATTGTGAGGATTAAGGCTAAATAACTATCCTATTTGTTGGGAAGAATACATTTTCAGCAGAAAACATATATAAATATGTGAGTAGAGTAAGTACTATATGGTGCATTTAAAATGGTAAGTGTAGAAGTTCATATCATAAATTGAAGTAACTTAGCATAATAAAATTCAGCTTTTCGATTTTTTAGCCAAGATATAGCCAACTCCTCGTGCCAAAGGAATTAGCAATTATTTTCAACTATGTCAACTCAAGTGTTGTAGGGTGACACTGAATGAAGTCTGCGGTGTAAATAGGGCAACATGGGGGCTTTCAATGGATCTAAATGATCTCTAGGAGATCGCACGCACAAACAAACACACATACAAGAAAAAACTTACACTGGTTTGTTCACATTCTCCTTTTGACAGCTAATTCACAACCATTGTTTGGGGGGAAAACAAGACTTTCCTTGTTGCTTTTTATGATCACATCAGTCAAGGGTCATGTAGGCAGTGTACTTAAAATTACCTGGTTGTCATGGCTGGACCATGGTGCATTTTGGATTTATTGTGGCAATTACTATGCATTGGGAAACCAATGAAATCTGTTCTCAGAGACTTATGGAACCCGGTGGATTCCTGAATGCTCTGGAGAATTTTTCCAGCGGAGAGAGCTAGCAATACTGCTGCGGCCTTGGTAATACTCTGGAATGGGGAGATGAAGCAGGCCATCAACATGATTGCTCCCAAGTGCCCTCTTTGGTGCTGTGGAGCTCACTTTGCTTACTGGTACACCAGGAGCTTATGAGTGATGAAACAGACTGGAAGACGACTAGAAGGCAAGTGGCAGAAATCTTGTGCTGAAGCTGACTGAACACTGGTTAGAGCACTGTAACTGTGCCTAATATGTTGTGAGAGGTGACAAAGAAGGCCTACTTTGGGGCCTCCACTGCATCCTCTACTAGCTAAGGGTGCCTTTTACCAGCTTGGGTTGGTAAGTCAGCTATAGCCATTCCTAGCTCAAGATAGCTTGACATCGGTGGTCCAGGCACTGGTAACCTCAAGACTGGATTAGTGTAATGCACCCTATGTGAGGCCTCCCGTGGACTTAACCACCGGTGCATCTTGCAGAAGCTAAATTGTTGGCGGGGGTATCCTGTCGACTCCATTTAACAACTCTGCTGAGGGAGCTGCACTGGCTGCAAATATGCTACTGGGAACAACTGAATATTGTACTTTTAAAGCCCTAAACAACTTGGGCCCAGGTTATTCAAGGGACTGCCTCGACCCAACTGTGCCCCTCAGAAGGGTCATCGCTGACAGCACACGCTGTATAAGAAATTGGACTTCTAGTTGCAGCTCCAGCCCTCTGAAAATAGTCACCCACATTTTTGTTTAAGAAGACTTTTTCAGAGGCGTGACCCAGTCATTTATAGACTATTAATTTTGCCCTTGTAGAGGTTGTAGAGGTTGTTTTCCTGTCTTTACAGTTAGTTGGAGTGGTTTCAATTGTTTTCAGACCTTTTATTGTTTCTCATTATTATATGATATTACATTGGTTCAATGGCTTTAGGCTGTAAAGCAGTTTATAAATTTGAAAAATAAAATTCAGCAAGGGACAGGAGAATTCACTTCAAATGTGTATTGGAAGCCCATTCACACACAGGTCATAGTGAGGAAACTCCCCCCCCCCAAGCCTCAATTATTTGTTTCTTATGGCTAGGAATGTCTTGTTTAACTGCTTGGAAGCCAGAAGAAAAGACAGGAAGACGAGAACTTTAAGCTCTCCATCTTCTCTTCAGTTACTCTTCTTCAATCAAAATAAAAAAAATCCTTCCAGTAGCACCTTAAAG